GCTATGTCGTGCGCAGCACGCTCTCTCCCAGAGCAGCCGGGAAGTTGATCGTGTCACTGAACAAGCTGCGACGTATAAAAGGCGAATCAGTAAGGTGCATTTCAAATTACTATGCATTCCAAACAGCTTCGGGAACTGGACCATCGTCATTTGGTGGAGACTGGAAATACTCGATTTCTATATTATATTAACAAGAGATGAAAATAAGAAGAATGAAAAAGTAAGAAATGAAAATTAGAAAATTTGTAAAATTAGTAAAATTATTAGGCGTTTTATGCTGTGTAACAACAGTACAAAAGGCATATTGTCACAGGGTTGTCTGTGTATGTCCGCAGCAACTTGCCCGCAGCTCTCAATTCGGGAACCACAAAAACTAGGAAGCCGAAGATTTTTAGGGTTATGTTCTGCACCCCAACAAATTTAAATTCAGCCTCCCCGTGCCCGTGGATAACATATACGGCCCCGTGAAACTTTTGGCGAGTAAATTGTTATCTCGTGGACACGGAATCTAGGAAGCTGAAATTTTGGGGGACTATCTCCTACCCCCGTGCAATCTGTCAAATTTAAACTCGGAGCAGTGAAAATCATTAGCAGGCAATCGTTTGGCGAGCGGAATTGCACAAAACGCATGATCACACCGGCTGCCCTGGTGCGCGCCGCTATTTTTTGTAACATTGTAACAAGATAGTTTTATCTGAGACTGTAACAAGATTCAGGTAGTTTTATCTGAGAATGACGTTGAAAGACGGCTGAATGAGGTGCGAACTCTGCTCAAGAAATCGCAGCAAGACTTGGGGGTCATCGACGGTTGCAAGTTCCTGTATCAGGAATGGGAGGAAGAAGTTGTGATGAAGAATTGCTGTCCGCTTTGTGGAAGAACTGGCAAGAGCGGCGATGATTGGGATTGCAAATCTTTGGCAGAAAAGGTACTGCAATTTCAAAATATTTTTGCAGGTTGGCGAGGAAAAAAATAGCTGCGCACACGAAGAGGCGCATGCGATCACGCGTTTTCGCTACAAGCTGTTGTTTAAACTGGAAATTGCATAGTTCAGAATTTAGAAATTAGAAAATATGAACTTAGGTTTAGATTCTTAATCAGGACACAGCTGGGACTAATGACTGATTTCTTTTTTTTTGCTCCGAAGTGCCTAGTAGATTATATGACAAAATCGCCTGCTAAGTACTTTTTTAGCTTTCGAGTTAAAAGTTTTGAGTGAACCGGTTTAAAAGAATTCCTGCAATTTTCCGCAAAAACTTTCACATGCCTGTACGTGAAATCTAGGCGTACTTAGAAAATGAATTTGAAATCTTTGGACTGCACTGAGACAAAATTTATCCTTCTGTAGTAATTGTATCTTAGCTTTTCTGGTTCCTGAGTTAGCAGTTTTCCTTTCAGAACTTTCACGTGTCTGCGACACATGAGACGCAGACATTCATGAAAGTTGACATTAAGTCTCTGGGAACACACTTAGTCAAAAAACACATTGGCTTCAACGTCTAAGTTTGCTTGGTTGCCGATTTGGATTGCCTGGGCAAATAAAACATGCACACATACAAATTCAGGGTTGTCATAATATGTTTTTCGCATAGCGCTGCACCATAAAAACATAATCGTAGATTTAGAGCCCAGCAGTTTACACTATCAGAGGGGTTTTTTTCGTTGTGGATTAAACTGATTTGAAAAGACGCGTCATCTGATGCTTGGCATTTTCCGATGTTTTCATCATTGTGCAGTCGATGGTTGAGCGCAAAATTTATCGCTGTACTACGTCACTGAATAAATTCGATTTTTAGATAAAACAGAGAAAAGAGGAGCTGCCGAAAGAGGCCGAAAG